CGGCATCACTATAAATGTCTATTTGAGTAAATATGGTTGGCATATTACATACACTCGTATACGTAATATTGTCTACAAGACGTTTTAGTACAAAGGGACTTGTTACAAAGTCGTCTGTGTAGAGTACCTGTGACCGAGGTGTGTTCTGATTTGAACGGGCTGTGACTGTGATGTTACATGTTATTTTCTATCTCCTACATGTCACTGCTATATGACACTAGTATATAACACTCTAAAAGAAACGCCCACTTGCCATTGAGGAAAAATAGAATAGAATACAGGATTCGGAAACATAACACCTTATTCCTTAGGAAAGGCAAACTATATATTTGATGTACTACAGATATCACTTTGATTTTTGTGATGTCTCTAATATTACTAAGATTATAGACGGGACGATTTCTACTTTACCGAATGATTGGTAGAAAAAAAAATTATATGACTATTCCAACGATTGATTCAAAATTTAAATCAATAAAGATTATTTCTATATTTAATATGCGGTCAGTTAGATACATTATCATACTGATTTCATTGATATCAAAGATTTACATATATTATATATATTTTCTGTTTGAGAAGTAACTTTTGCATATTAAGTACGTAATCCAGTAAGAAAAAAATGATATTTTAGATATGTATGTATGTATAATACTTATAGGTAAAGTATATGCTTTATTTTAATTGTAGAAGTAAACTTGTTGGTATATATTATACTGCAGGTGTAAAGGGTTCTAATTAATATGTTTAAAAGGCAGTTTATTTAAAATATTGAGTTAGTAATATCAGTACCCAGTAACTTTACTGCCTTATCTTTCTACCTAAAGTTGATAAATAATATATTTGCTGTCACTTCTGCCTATGCCTTCAACTCTAACATAACATATAATCATATAATATTAAAGTCACTTATGTTTGCTTAAATTGGAATTTTTACAGTCTATTTGATATTCTTAAAGCATGTAATATAAAAATGTGTCTACCTCGTAAGGTAATTAGAATTCAGAAATATAAACCATTACTAAAAAATAGATTAATATAATATTAATAATAGTTATACTGCATCCGAGATCATAATAGTTATTATTTTATGTTAAAATGTAAAACAAGTAAAAATTATAAATTGATATAGAATATGGAAATTGTGGAGATATAAATACAGTATATAAAGTTATGATAGATTTAAAAGTAAAGATTCACATATTGGAAGTTGAAATTCTTGGATTTGGTCAGATTGTCCTAGTTTCTAAATTAAAGTTACAGTTGAACTATAAATTGTGCAGAGTGCGAGAATGTTGATCCCTGCTTGAGTACGGCTCTTCTTAAGAGATCAGATCAAATCTCTATATAGTACCTAATGTTCGTGTTATTTAATCCGTATGTGATTAACAACTACCCCCGCCTGTCTCCAAAGAGATATATCATGATTTGTAATTACGAATAACACAGATGTTCCCTTAATAAATGACACCTAATTGCCTGTTAATGTGTAAATATGTGTAATTTTGTGTGCCATATTATTACCTTTTCCTTACCTTTGTAACAAGTTGATTATTCTATGTGGGTGTACAACTTTGTAAAGGTCAAAAGAAACTTCTGGTTCTTGGTTGAATAGATCCTTAATTAGTAGATGCTTATTAGGTGAGGTTGAGGAAATTTTAAAATGATTTGTGGGAATGATAATATTGATGTACATATGTATATCATACTAATTAATTCCCACATCAAAATCTTCTTTTGATGCTAGTTAATGTTTCATTTTATATACCGTACCTAGTTATGTATTTGGTACTACATAATTATTGGTAATTTTGGGACTATTTTCGCTCTCAATAAATAGGTACTTATAGCAATAATTACTAATATAAAATTATTTCTCTTATAATATTTATTTTGGTATATTTCAGATACAATTAATACAAATAATAAACCCTGACTAAGACCGACTTCCACGCCGGTCGCCGCTGTCTGGAAATTATTGTAATAAAAGTTCCTGATGAATTCGCTCCAATCTGATACTTCATTCATCCGAGATCATTCTATCATCCTCAGCTAGGGCTCCGTCAGAGTATACTATTATCGTAGACGTTTATATATATATATACAAAAGTACTTTCAAGAATTTATTTTTGGTAAAAAACGTAACAGATGAAACACTCATCCCTATTCAGTTCTAATATTTGAGTTCATATTATTTTTTTCATAGCCTTGTGTATAACTAGTACCTACTTGTAATGTCTAGACATGTCCCATAAACATACACATCGCAAGCTTTTAACGTAATTAAATGCCTATTGTTTGTCTATTTATATTTACAATGCTATTTAATTGGCAACCTGTCCCATCTGAATAATTACACCGAAAACCCCGATGTAATGTTAAAAGCATGTAGTTACCTCGTAAGTAATTTAGGTACGTTGTTTTAATTAAGTAAGTGACATAAATAAATAATAGAAACGTAGGTTTGTGCGGTAGGCATTCAAGCATAAGCTTACTTGGGAAAAGATGTCGACTGTGTACGTACTTCCCAAGTTAATTGCAACCATCGCAATGATTTATGTATATCTGTCACATATTCTCTCCGTATGCTATATGAACTGCGAATAACTTTTCTATCTTTGTAGAGAGCTTAGAGAACCAGACGGCGGCACTATGGGCAGTAATTTTAATATGAAAGTCCAATTCATATGTACTTTTACTTGTTCGTCATTCAATAATCGTCACCCATTTATTAATATACTTATTAATAAATGGGTGATGATTATTGAATGACGAACAAGTACATACACTACCTACTGAACCATGGTAAGGCATTACCCGACATGAATACTGGTACGTATTCATGAAATTTATACAATTTAGTACCTACTATAATGGAAATGTTATAGTCATACATCTATATTTTCAAGTTGAAATAGCTTCCAAGCTGCTTGGTGGTAGAAATAGAAAAGATAGATGCATGTATCCGGGCAGACGGATTTATACCATATGTCAATGATCAAATTGTATTTAAGCATTTTGAGGATTAGCAATTTAAATGTTTTTAAACCAAATTAATTCATTTTTAATAACTTCTGTTTGACGAATATTTATTAAAACTCTCTAGATCAAAAATAGGTACAAAGTAATAGAACTGTACAACACATTTATTTATTACATTAATTTTAATAATAAGTATACACATATATACAAAACACGAGGGGAATTAACCCTTCATATCAGGCAAGGTGACCTAGCTGTATAAACAACTACTTACAGAACATTGCCAATGTAATGGATCACGATATTTTACAATAATAATGAAAGTACCGAATTATTAAGAATACAATTTATCATAACATAGTTAAAAATAATAGGTATGATACTTACTATGTTTAACTCTTAATAGTAGGTTATATATAGTCGCACAAAAAAAAAGTAGAAAACTTTTTCTACATCATTGTTAATTTTTTATGCGCATTTCTACGGAAAAAATATTTAATTAGATATACGAAATGTGCGGAACATGGTAGAGTCGTGTTAAGAATCTGAGCTAATCATGTATATAAGCAACTAGTACCATATGGACGTTAGCTTGTTTTTCATTCTAGTTTTATAAAACACCTTTGTTTGAAGCCAGTTGAAATTAAAATACCTGCATTAACCTACAACTGAACATTAATTAACACATAAGTGAATAGTAATTAACTTATATATTTGAATAGTTACCAATCATATTCGAATAATTTGCAAACAACAAATTAGTAAACGACCACATTCATTTTATTACTTTATTATTCATATAAACACGGCTAATAGAAGTTAATTCCCTTTACATTGCGTATTGATTTTTTATGTACATTTATTCTATTCAGAGTCTATTTCACACAAAAACTTTTGCAGAGAAAACATATGAAATTATAGTTTAATATGAAATTATAATAGCCCAATATGAATTTTATTATAAAAATAATTTTATTTATTTTCTTAACTCATTGGGGGAATTCGTTCAGTTTCATAAATATTTACTACTATTATAATATTTTCAGTTTTGCTAATATTTTACAACGTTGTTAATCTCTCTCTGGCATCGTTATTCTTGAGGTCCAAGGTAATTTAAAGTCTAAATTAGATGATACTACTTTCAGTACACCAAAAATGTCTTTTTCGCTTCGTGTATAGTAACTTTGCCTAGATATATGGGCAACGCACGAAGGCTAAACGTTTTGAGGTCAATTAAATTAATTCCACTGCATTTGTAACAACTGAAATAACTGGCATCGATAGGTATCAAAGCTAGTGCGGAAATTAAATGTAACTATTCAGCCTTAACGTTTTGATTTATACAAATGGTTTACTGAACCATTTCATATTCATGTTTATTATAAGGATTATTTTAACATATACCTATATGGCTATAATAATCCTTGTAAAAACATGACAGGGACTTGTTGTTTTGTTTAACCGACTTCAGAAAGATTTTTATTATTAGATTTTCATAAGTTTTATTATAATATAATTTTTGTAAGTTAGGAAAAACAATATTATAAAGTTTACTTCTTCTCAAGTCTAGTTTATTTTGTCATATTTAATGGTCCACCATTAAATCCATTGTATTATGATATTAAAACTTAAAATGTACATACTGCAATTTTACTGAACAAAAATTTTTGTAAAATATCCTATATAATATAATGTAATTGATCACATACATGTAACTCAAATTAGTGTTAGAATTTATGTAACATATGTCGTTTGTGCACGTTAATATTAAAAACGGCTTTGTCGATTTAGGTGCGGTCACTAATCTATTATTAGAAGCTGTATTTAAAAGAATTATAGTAAGTATTATTAAATAAATGTAAAAGTTTGTTTTATGATATATTATATATATATATATATATATCATATGTTTATAAAATTCAATATCGTGAGCTCAGTTAATATTAAATAATTAATATAGTAAAATACAATGAATACAATCGTGATATTTATTTATTTTCAGTTCTTATACGGAGATTACGGAGGACGCTCCAGCAAACATTTGGTGATGAAATCACAAAGCAAATTATATTACAGCGGCATGTACAGTTGAAATCACAAAGTCCCGCTCCAGCTAAACGGTGTCTTGAAAATTATTAAAGGCGTGATGAAACATTTCTTGATATTCATGTATGAGCAATTTCATTGAAGCCGGAATTGAAAATGCAGATAATATTTTGGAAAAATATTTACTTCTGTACAATATTTACATAGGACATACAAAATAATTACAATTCACAATGTCAACGAAACCTACCAAGAAACAATAGCATGAGATAAAAACAAATTGTTATAGAGTGGTAAATTAGAAAGAAAACAAAAAGTATAGGTATTCTTTAGATTTTACGTGACCTTACAAGATAACACGTACCTTATAGAAATACTTTATTAAATTAGACATAAAATTACTATCGATATCTAATAGGTTTACTTACCTACATATTTTAATCGTTTAATTAATTGTATGGTGTACAAAATTCTATTCAACTACAGTCTGTTCGAATTGTAAAAGTTCTTTAAAAGTAGACCTTGTGAATAAAACATTTATGTACAAGTTTGCAATATTACCTAAGTATTATACAATTATTCGATATATAGTAATGGGTATCATCTGAGCAATAAAGTCCAAAATGCTGCGACAAGAGTATAAACGACGTCTGTATAATTCGGTTGAGCGTCGCTTGAGAGCGCACTGGCGTGACACTCGGCCTCGTCTGCTCGCAACTGCAACAGAGGCACCCGCCTGCCGAGTTGGTCCTTACAGGTAGCACTTCGGACCGCGCGTCTTAGTTCCGTGCCTGCCTCATTTTCTTGCAGCCACCGACGTAACCAAGCACCAAGCCATGCTAATTCGCATTCACAGTGTAGAGGGTTGCCAGTTAATATTAATCCACCTGAATATAATTACAATTATGTACTTATAGATACTACATATATACGATTAGGCACTCTACGAAAATGATTAAAGACTCTATTAAGAATTTTATTTTATAGTGAAATTATTAAGATTAGATTAATTATTTATTTAAGTATTTTTTTTAAATCAGAAGTTGAAAGAATACTTTATTTAAAAGCGTAATGCGAACAGTTGATAGAATGTATGAAAATATGAACGAAATATAAGTTAAAAACCAAACTCATATAAATGTATTACATTATGGAAATTTGGCTTTGGTTCAGTAATGAACAGTCGGTACTCTGAGTATATTTAACTGTACAGTGAACTATTTTGATTGATTAAACCATGATTAAACCAGAAGAGGTCATACAATTTATCATCATTACATTATAGTTTCCACGTCATAAACTAATAACATAATGCATAAAAAGGACAATGGTTTAAAGATAAATATCATTTATAATAACAATGACTTTTAAGGTTTCCAAGCAGGGTTTTTAAAAAATTAAGTAATTTTAGATTAATATTCGCTTCTTCCAATGGATAGAAATTCGTTTCGTTTCTGTCCATTGGAAGAAGAAAGAACTAAATTGTTATTTTTAATAGGGTACTGAAAATATAAAAATATTTTACGTACCCGAAAGCAATTTTGTAGCTACATGGCTCCAACTGGTGAAGTTTGGATAGAATATAGCTGGATTAAGTGACGTAATTTGATTATAACTTAAGTCGATCCCCAATTGTGGTACTTGTCCGAGGTGTTTCATAAACGCTGTTGGTAGTTTTGTCAAAGATGTTGCTGTTATCCTTATAAATATCTCTTGACCACTTGCAAAAGGTTCAAACGCTTCATCAGTTATTCTCTTTAGGTTTGCACCTCTTATTTCTAAATAGCGAATGTTTCTTGCATCTATTCCGTGAAGTTGGGTGTCCATGATATCGTCTGTCCATTGAATCACTATTTTGTATAAAGATGGAAGTGATAATGTGATGTTGGATAAACGGAAAGTTGAATGATTTATTGTAGACCACGACTGAATATGCAGAGCTCGCAAAGATATTAGGGGACGGAAGGAATCTTGGTCAACTATGTCTAAGTATTTAAGTCCATTTAAATTTAAATGAGATAAGTTGCTCAACCATTTGAAACTATTTGGCGTAATTCTTACTATAGGATTGTATGAAATATCGAGTACGTTTAAATTATTCAAATGATACCACATTTTTGGCACTAAAGAGGTAATACGATTATGACTAATGTCTAAATGGCGAAGATTCACTAGCCGCTTCACGTCAGTCTCTTTAAAACTGTTAATGTAATTTGAAGTTAAATTGAGACTAGTTAAGTTTGTCAAAGGTAGATAAGGCACTGACTTTAAACTTACATTTGCAAGATTCAAATGCCTCAAGTTGGGTAGGTTGTGAAACAACTCCTTAAAGTTTGCTTTTATAGAGTTTGAGCTAAGGTCCAGTAAACGTAAACCTCCAAGACTTGAAAAAGTGTTATCCGATAACACAGTCAACAAATTGGAACCTAAGTTTAAATTTAATAGGAATTGCGTATTGCGAAATATATTACTGTCTAAATATTCTATATGGTTGTTAGATAAATCCAAGTATCTTAGAGTGAATCCTATTTGGGATAGGGCAGTGACAGGAAACAAAGATATATCATTATAACTTAAATCCAAATGTTCTATAATAGTATTTTTAAATACGTCTCTGGGTAAAAGCCTTATATTATTGTGATCTAATTTGAGATATCTTAATTTATTCAAATTATAAAATTGTTCGACGGATAATTGAGATATGACATTGAAAGAAAGATCTAAAATCTGAAGCGACAGCAGATCTGAAAAAGATTTTCTTTTTACTGTGTTTATATTATTTTTATGTAAATCTAATATCTCTAAATTTATAGCATCCCCAAAAGCTTCGCTAGAAATATGAAAAAGTTTATTATGAGATAATATAATATGTCGTATGGAAGATTCCACAGCAACAAATAAATTATTTGGCACTTCATGCAATTCATTGTATGAACCATCAAATATATTTACGGAAATCACGGATTCTCCGTCGATAAGTCTTAAGTGATTTCTGCTTATATTGAGCGTGAATGTTACATCTGCATGCGAAACATTGTAGAACGAGTTAAGTGATAAATACGTAAAGTTATTTCCTTGGAGCTCCAATATTTCCAGTTTTGGTAAATTAGCAAAGGTCTCAGTTTCCATCGAATCGATTATGTTACCCGCAAGAGATAAATATCTCAAGTTGGGTAAGTTTGTGAAACTGTGCTTAGTTAAGTTATTGATTCGGTTATATGATAAATCTAAGTTTCTTAAGTCGGGCATATAAGAAAATATGCGACTGTGTATTGAACTTAAAAAATTATAAGCAATTCTTATATTACTTAAAGGTAGGGAAATATTTTGATAGTCGTCACCCAAAATAATGTCTATAATACGATTATAATCTAAATTTAAATACTTTAAGTACGGAAACGTTGTAAGATCTGATAATTTAAGGATATGAAAATCATTATTATCAAACGAGAGCCAACTGAGATTTTCTAAACCCTCTTCAATTTCAAAGGGAAAATAGCTACTACATAGAGTCGAAGACGATTCTAATACATGCAAAGAGCTAGAAACATTTGAGAACGACTGTGGGTGTATGTAGTATAAATCATTGAAGCTCAAATTAATCTCTTTAACTGGCATGGTTGGCGGAAAAACGTTCTTATAAATCTGTGCAATCCTGTTACCTCTTAAGTTGATAGTCCCAAGGGAAGTGGACCAGTCTAGAAATTCGTTGGGTAACAAATTAGATATCCTGTTGTAGCTTAAGTCAAGATAACGAATGGATCCCGGTTCCAGCGTTTGTAGTGCAGAGGGTATTGAAGTTAAAAAGTTGCCCGCAAGTGAGAGCGTCTGAATTCGAGCGGGGAGAGGGGGTGACTCCTCCAACTGGTTGTAAGCTAAAGATAAATGGCGTAGTCGTATGACCTGAGCCAAAGTGTCCGGCAAGTGGGACAATTTGTTGTGTTCCACTTCTAGATGCTCGAGTGAATTTTTTAATAACAAGAATACTTCTCGGTAAATAGAAGACAGTTTGTTGTACGAAATAGACAGCCGTTCGACTCTATTATTTGTGAACACCAATCGTGGGATGAAAGTTAATTCATTAAGGTCTAGAATAATTTGTCTAATTTGAACTTCTTGGAGCACAAGTATCTCCGAAGAATCATTAATTTTGTTATTACTTAAGTCTAACTTTTCAATCTTTTTATTTTTAGTATTAGAACAAGAATAATTACTGCTGAATCTAACTAAATTATGACGCAAATGAACGGATTGTAATCTGGGAAGGTTATGAAGTAAATCACAGGATAGTTCATGAAGGAAGTTATTTGATAACTTTAGGATTGACAATGTGGTTGGCAATGAATCTGCGCTAATGCTTCGTAAGTGATTTCCTTCTAAATCTAACTGTAATAAGTGATATAAAGTAGTCAGTGCTTGTGATTTCAAATGTGTTATTTGATTATTACTTAATGACAGACTTGTTAAAGTTTCTTCTAAGTGATGCCATCGAATTTCAGGTCCAAGCTGAGCAATATTGTTGCTAAAATAAAGAAAAATAAATTATTTCAATTCAGTGAGTGAAACTTAAATAGAGTTTAGATTGGATACTTACTTCTGTAGATTTAACCAGTTTAAAACTTTTAAGTCTCTCAATCCTTGCTGTGGTATGTCAGTAAATTCATTATATCCAAGATCTAGAGAGGCTAACGTAATAGCCATTGAGCTGGAATAAAATAATCATCATTACTATACTTTTATATGAAGATACTAAAGACATATCTAATAAATGAATATGTACCTAAATGCGTGAAGTTCGATGTAATGTAATTTGTTAGCTACTAAAACTAAAGTCTGTAGACGTAATCCATCCAGAGCACTTTCTGATATAATTTCCAAATTTGACATACTGATGTCTAGATGTTGGAGTTCTATGCGCGGCCATTCTGAAAAATTAAACTTATTAGGTACTAAATTTTGTAAAGGAAATTTAAATGAAAATAATTAAGGTAATAAATATTCTATTATTCAAAAATTGCATTGCCATTAGGAATATTAATGACAGGTTATTTGAGAACCTATGTCTGTAATGAATTAGGTACTATTTATTAAATATATCCAAATGTGTAAATTTATCTATATCTACTTTTTATTATTTTATATATGAGGTAATAAACATAAAACATATCGGGGAAATTTCAATTTAACAGAGTTTTCCAGTAGAACATCACGTAAAATTTTCACACCGTATTTCCATACGTGCATGTTACGTGCATGTAATATTCTGACTATAATCGAATTAGTTGCAAGCGTTCGTGTTCGATTACGATAAAAAAACACTCTATTATAATAAAAAGGTATGTCAGATTTTTAACGAACTCTTTGATACGTATAAAACAAAGTTAAAAATACACGATTTCCACGAAAGTGTTTAAAGAAACATCAAACTAAGCGAAATAGATAACAGGTCAGCGCAGTTTAGTAATTACTTTGTTGGAAAACAACTTCAGCTCTGTTTTCACAAGGCGTAAAAACTACTAGCTATTCTTTCTGACATAAAATTAGATTGGTATTTTTCATCGTTTTATGTACATACTGATGTAGCAAAATACTTTGACGTTACACAAAACGATGAAAAATACTAATGTTTGCGTTTATGTCCATAGATTTTTTCTGTGTTTTATTATTCGTCATGGAATAACGTTTTTTCGTAAATCGGCAGTTCAATATGTATATTCTATCGTCGAGGAAAAATGTATGTTGCATATTTTACAAGTAAGCACTGCTTTATTACTACTATTAGTGTATAGATTTACTGAGGTGACTGGAGTTAAATCTAATTACTTAAAAAAGAGTTTTGTTAGAAAAATTGTTTTGTTTCAAGCAAGGTAGACTTGTGTATGTGAACATTGTGTATCATGAGAGTTTCATTCGTATTACTCTGGCGACTTTACATAATCTTTACATTTGCGATTAAAACCGTAAATAGGTACAAAACTAAAGAAATTTATGCATGTATGTTCCTATTAAATGACATTTTTTAATTTATAAAAGGAAATCTAAAATGGTAGGTTTGTATTCACTTTAAATCACGCTTTATTTAAATTATGTATATTTAAAGTGGGTTATCATTTAAATTGTGTGTATTCTAAGAGTATAACTAATTAATTGTATTAAATATGTATTTTACATAATATCAGCAATTCATATCGCCGGGTGTATCCAGTAAGTAGGTAACACTTCGCAATAACAATTTGCTTGTTAGTATAATGCGACACTCGTCTCATGGATTGATATTGTTCTGATTGAAATAAAATTTTAGATATTCTAAGTATGATAATTACATAGAGTTATAAAAGGTTGGGGGGTACTCTTACAATAAGAAAGACTGTGGATATAATTATAGAATATTGACAATTAGATGACCTGAAAATATAAATCGTTTAAGATCCTTTTACGAATCCGAAAGTGGTCATTTTACACCCTCCTATTACATTACAAAAGGGAAAGTAAGGAAAAAAATAATTCTACTGTAGAGATAAGACGGCGTAATTCCACACCGGTGAATCTACATCCCTATACAAAAATTGAATTTTATTTCTTGAATGTTAGCACAAAATAAAAATATATTCTTCTATGAATAAGATGACGTATAATGTAGGTTCTGATGTTATACAAAAACTATGTTTCCATTTCATGGAGACTGAAATATTGTTTTTATAACGGTCTAGTATGAAGTTTGATATAGGATAGGCACTTAGGCATCCCACGGCTGTGGATTTAATACATTCTATATCAGTATTCAGTCAATTCAAACCGCTATAACGTTGCGTTTATACCAAGTTATAAGAGTATTGTAACATAGTTATGCAGTCTAGTGTAGTTCCGCGTATAGAGTAAAAATTGTTTTTTAGATACAAGAAAAACATATTTGTTCCTCTTTAGAACAAATATAGTTTTCTTGTTTACTATTATTTTTATTTTGTACCTATACTAATTATATGAAATATAGTCACATTTAAAATATGAGGTAGGTCTATTATATAAACTACAACAAAAATATTATGTTGCCAACATTTTAACTGGAAATGTATTTTGGCTTAATATTAGATACTAGTGCTTTACATACGGAATAATATGTTTCGAGGATTGTGATGAAACTTCTTGTATCAGAGATTGTTTATAGTCACTATTAAATAATTAATACCACAGGTAGAAACACAAAGAGCAATGCGTGAACATTACCATTTCATGTCAGACACAGACGGCACCGGTGCCATGTATACATCCCCAGGCGAGTTCACAGAGTTAATATTACAACTAGTTATTTAAGGTACTACAAAACGATATTTTTTTATTTGTACATTTATGGAATATCGTAACTTTCTCACAAGTTGATATCAGTTCTGATTATTATTTTAGTTATAGGTAGCTCTCGTATTGGTTCTAGAAATGTGTTAATTTGATACGATTGAAGTCGTTACGTCGTAAAAGAAATACTTTAAGTAAACAATCTGTTGTCTATTATATATATGTTTTATAAAATAGTAATAAACAAAGTCGCTGTTTACGTTCTGTTTCTCCAGTTACATTACAATGATATCTTGTCATGATTTTAATTCGCTTTCACTTTTAGAATTAATATTCTTCTTCTGAAAGTTTTATTATAAATTTAATGCATGTAGTTTATCGATCTCCATCACATATATTGCTAATTCGTGTGAAACAAAAAAAAATATATATTTTAAAATATATTTTTTCAAACTCAAAATAAATAACTGTGTCTAATAAGACAGTCAATTTTCTACCTGGAAACCTGTGGAATGGTACAGCGATGCAGGACATATGTGCTGCACGGCATGAGCACAGTGGGCTGCCGGCGCAGGGCTCCAGCCGTTCTGGCGCCAACGCACCCACCAGCAGGCACGCCACCAGCGCCGCCTTCTGCAGCGCCCACCGCGCGCATCCATCGCCCAACACCATCACTGCAACGGTAAAGAGTTACGAATTTCCAAATGCGCTTCACAACTGTATTGCATGCTCGCGAACACGAGACAGATAACTATGTTTATCTGAATAATCAGGTTTATGAGTACAGTGTCTACAATATGACATACCACTGCTGTCATATGTCTAATACGTCTTTATTCATATCCGTCAATACCTAAACAGTGACAAATAACTATGTCTCTTCAATATCTAACGCGTAAAGTTCTTTGAATATTCTAAACAAATTTAATATAATATAATTCTTTTTTTCTTTTTCTCTCTCTATGCTGAATAGAATGGAACAGAATTTGTTGATCTCTATTTAATAACATATAATAATAATCACAGTTTTCAATGCGACAATGTTGTTCAGTAGATATCTCATTCAATATTAAATTTTAATTTCCGAGAATAATATTATGTAAATAGTATATTAATATAAGTATTTATAGTTTATTGATATTGTATATTAATCACATTTTCAATAATTATTCGAAAAATAGTGTTATCCAATGAGGTAGTTATTAAGTGTACCTAGCCTATGCACTAGGAGTTACCTAATGCTAAGCTACCTAATACATTTTAAAACCAGTTAGCGTGCATTACGCTAGCTGCTTTTAAAATGTTTTAAACGTTGATATTAGTGACCAATTATGAGTGAAATGAAGTACGTCTACAATTAACGAAAGAATGATATTGAGTGAGGCGACGGGCGACGCTATAGTATATAATTTTATATTTGCCATTGAAGACATATGTAAATAGAGATGAAATAAATAAATAATATAACTAAAGCAATCGTTATCATGGGCACATACATATATCTGTAAGCAGCTTTAAGTAGAAGAAAGAAAGAAATATTGCGTCTGTCTACCAAGAGATCTATTCATACATATTTTCTTTCCAACTGTACTTGAAATGAAATATATCTCCCAGATGAATAATATTGTTAACAGGAAAATGGTTTGAATGTGCCATGCTGTGTGACTACTGTTCACAAAAAAGTATTACACTCAAGCGTTATTGCAAAAAATACGTTAAACTTTAAATAATATAGGTATCTTTAATGAACTCTCATATATCTTTTTTCTTAGTGTTTTAACGTTACTAACAGTGTAATTATGTATGTTTAGTATTACAAAATACTATGACTAGTCTCGCCATAAATACTGTTACATAAAAACTTTTCTTTTTTGAACTTAATGTACTCAATATACTAATTATATTAATTAACTTAATATTCTAATTATTTTGAATTTGTAACACGTATTCGACTCTTCTACTATTTTAAAAACTTCTTCTGATTTTGCACCATTTCACATATTTTTTCGTTTTCATTATTAAATTACAATCGGTCATATTCCAGATACTTCAAAAGCTTGGTATCAGCCGTATGTTCGTGTTCGTATATTGTACTATCAATAGATACAACAACATCAACACTAGAAATAATCGGGGCGGCCGCGTGCTGTCAGAACTACAAAGGCTGTTAATGCTGTCAGAATTCGTTGAAACCCAATTGAAGGAAGCAAAAAATCTTATCTTAGCGAGAAATGAAGATTCCCGCTAGGATTCTGTCACGTATTATAAAACAATATCTGGAGCTCGATCTATATACAGGACATGCCCTAACAATCTTTACAATTAAAGAGAGTGGATCGAAAACTTGTGTCGCGATACGCAGGCGAAAGGCACAGGAATATCCTCTTTACCGATTAAAAAATACTTAACGTGCGAACACAATTTCAAAGCTATGGTTTATGGGGCGTATCTTATCAAGTAGTTACAAAACTACATTTTTGTGATAAAGGAGTGAAAACTTCAGCTAAAGTGTATTAAGATGCAGTTTTGGATCATGTTGTGAAACCTCTCAGCAATACATTTTTTAAAAATATACCGTGGACTTTCCAGTTGGACAAGCCCAGAATTCAGCTGTTTAGACTTCAAATTATGGTCAGTTTTAGTGAACATGACCTGCACTAAAAATCTTTGGAGCAAGCAGCGGCAAAAGTTTACTTGGAAACAGTGCGTAAATTCATAGATTCGTGGCCAAATAGATTAAAGGCTATATCAAAGCCAAAGGTGGCCATTACGAAGAGAATATTTTATTTGCTCATTTTTTTTTTTTTTCTCTCGTTTGTTGTTTATATTGTATTTTTGTTACATTGCACTGAATAAAATATTTTTCTTTCTTTCTTTCTTTCTTCTTTTTTTTGTTGAGTCTTTAATAAATATGTAAGTATAAATTTTAATAATATTACATTACTTCAATACAATAAATCTCATTTTCATTTGCAACAGAAGTTATGTATGGACTAGGAATATATTGCATGAGTGACAAAAATAATCAATAATAACTAATGGTAATAATACTGTATGTATCTAAAATACAAAAATATAAACTACATTAGTGTCATCCGACTTTGTTAATGTTGCTTTGTGTTTAATGTACTATAGGTACACTTAGTTTATTTATATGCCAATAACTCTGTATGTGTTTGCGTAATAAATGTATTTGTATGTAAAATTAATTGAATCTGGATATTTTATTAAAACTTGATACAAAAGTTTAAAAGGTAACGTTCAAATTTTATATAGCATTTTTTAGCAGAGTGAATAATATACATTTTTAAAGGTATTTATAAACCAAATTTAAGTATTAACGCTTAGGTACTAAGACAGAAATATTAATATATAAAAATGAAAAGTATCTAAATGAACCAAGATTTTTTTTATCCATATTTAATTTTAAATACTTTGACGAGCATGATTCTAATTGAAAATCTTTAAAGAGTTTTTCACCACCATTCTTGTGAATTTCAAACAGTTAAATTATCATAATAATACTGATTGAAAATTTAAATAATGACATAAATGGAACACAACACCTACGGATTGTTCATATATATTAAGAGATAGATACCTACCGTGACTTTATTCTTATATTTGTTTTTTACATTATAAAAAATAATAAATTATATTATTAACAATTTAAATTAAATAATAATTATTAAAATTTAATAACGTTACAAAGTTGTACATATCACGGAATACACAAATGTATACACAAGTATAGTTAAAAATGCATTCACGTTAAGTATCTTTTTTATAAAGTTAGAAAGAAAAACAACGAAAACACTTTAATTTGTATTTTATGATACAAATCGCAAATATCTATCTTAAATTAATTTAAACTTAGCTAGTTATTTTAGTCATAACTGTAAACTAAAATAGAGGTACAAAATGGTTATACGCTATACTAAACGTTTTGAATTGCTACTTTAGCCGACAGTCCATGTCTTCGTACATGTCTTGTCTTTGTACCTTATTAATTTCAATTCAAACTTAAAAAGATTTTCTATTCGACCACTAAAAAATAGACATTTTGGTGGTATTAATGGTGTATAGACATACAGGTAACAGTTATTAGGGTAAAAGATGAATAAGTATTAATATTATAATAACTAAGTAATATAAATAGTGCACATAATAAATAATATAATAAAAAAACTGAGTTCATAATCCATTTAGTATGAATATCAAATATTCATGTTCATTAAATGTACTAATTTGTTTTTATCAATACTACTGCAATAAACAATACCATAGCTACTTTGTAAAATAATGTAAAATTGTATTAGAAATAAAATCATATCTCATTTAACTTATACTCGTACATACATTTTAAACTTATTTTTATACTAGAAATGAAGTACAGTACAGTAGGTATATATGTACAATTTAAATGAAAGAATGAATAGTTGAAATGGACCGAAAATCTGGGTTATCTGAACGTTTTATACGTAAATCAGATTTACCATATCGAATTTGTATTGGTCCATAAGTAAACGTGGGGAATATATATTCAATTTAGTCATGGCGAGGACCGTTATATATTCTGTGGCATGATCATTATTCATGACATAACGCCGGTTTCTGTGTGAATTTTTATCTACTGCATTTCTGTTTTACGCAGTAATTGAAGCATTAGGCACCAGGAATGGAAATATGAAAAGGATGAAAAAAATAAACGAAGTAAAAAAAGAAATTAAAAGATGAAAGAGACCGTAACGAAAAGCTCACGACGAAAAAAAGTGAGAAATTATTTTAAGACATTTGAAGCAGTAATAAGTGGCACAAAAGTTTTCTCAGAGATTTTCACGTTAAATGGTAATCTGGGAAATTTCCAAGTGCCGCAATCGGATTAAGCGTCACCTTAAATTGTATTTGTAAAACCGTTATTATTTACTGTTTAAAAATATTTTTCTATTACAGTCCATTTTACTTTTAAAAATTAAGGTACATTATAAATAATAATAGCAAATTATTTCATATCAATCCAAATGAATATAATAAATATTTTTAGTAATTTTTACTTAACAGACTTTTAACAGTTTTGTAACAATAAAGAGAAGATGCCAATCTACTACAAAGTCTATTAGACATATTATTATGCAGAAAATAATTAAAATTAAGTTTCTGTATTGTATCGAGAATTTCATTAATATGAAGTGAAATAAAATGTCACTGAACTAGTAGGTAACAATGTTCTATGATCAGATCTGTCATTAACCTAGATTTATAAAGCTATATACATAGGTTTCATGTTATGTTTATCTTTTTTTGGAAATATACTTATAAAAAAAAATTTATTTTATTGTACGACGAGAATATATTTAGATACTTAATCTTGCTATTAGAGAACCAATAGCTGTTAAAGAAAACAGTTATACTATAATACAAGTAAAATACGTTGTATGCGATCAGTGTATTGTTCGTACTCACTTTAATTATATACAGCTTTTTAATGATATTTCATTATACATCGTCATTTTAATACGCACTGCCAAAGAGTGGAACACATTTCTAGCGTTCGTGTTCACGGAGAAATACAATCCCGGACTCTTCAAGTCTATGGTGAATAGATATCTTCTGGTAAGCGCGCAACATCCTAGGTTTAACCATCATTTCCCATCAGATGAGGTAAGACCGAGCG